GCCTCGGCCCCCCTAAGTGCTGGGATTACCGGCATGAGCTACCTTGCCTGGCCTGTAAAATGTATTTCTTATTTTGGGACCGTATCAGGTAAAGTTTTGACTAATTTTGACTAGCAGAGTCAGACAATCTGAGTTCAGATTCTACTTCTGTCATTTAGTTTTCGACTATAGGCAGGTTATTTTATCTGTTGAAGCCTTAGTTTCATCATCAGTAAAATGAAAATGCAATAAAATCCACCTCAAAAGATTTTAAAAATTAATGAAATTGTGAAAGGGAACTGCCTATTGTAAGAATGTGCTTCTTTAAGTATTAACTATTAATGGTATTGATTCTAAAGGGGCTACAGCCACCCTCGAGACCACAGACTAATTGCAAGGAAATTTAGAGCTTATTGGATGCCAAGAGCAGAAGAGAGCAGCTGGGTTTATTACGCTGTGTTTTTTCATAGTTGCACACAAGTGAACTCAATGATGGCTATGATTGGGGTCGTCTTAATCTTCAGTCAGTGACTGAACAGAGCTCTCTTGATGACTTCCTTGCTACTGCCGAACTCGCAGGAACAGAGTTTGTTGCTGGTAAGTTGTTTGTCGCTGAGTACACGTGACACTGGTCACATTTCCATCTGAGGCTGTGTCTTTTTTTTTTTTGAGGCAGAGTCTCTCTCAGTTGCCCAGGCTGAAGTACAGTAGTGTGATCAGCCAAGATCACACTACTGTGAGCCAACACTGCAGACTCCACCTCCTGGGTTCAAGCAATTCTCTTGCCTCAGCCTCCTGAGTAGCTGGGACTACAGGCGCGCACCAGCACATCTGGCTGATTTTTGTGTTTTTTAGTAGAGAAGGGGTTTCACCATGTCGGCCAGGATGGTCTTGATCTCCTGACCTCACGATCCACCCGCCTCGGCTTTCCAAATTACCGGGATTACAGGCGTGAGCCACCAGGCCTGGCCTGAGTCTTGAACAATGAGTAGCTGTTAGAAGGACAGGTGAGATGATATCAGACATTTTACACAGACAGGCAGAGGACTCGAGTCAAGATGTGAAGCAGCAGCCAACTGTGTTCAGAAAATGGCTAGAAGTTTGGCCTTGGCTATGCAGGAGACAGGATGTGACAGGGACAGGATGTGATGAGTACAGGTGCTGAGGAGGTAGGCAAGGGCCAGATTCTGGAGAGAACAAAGGTTTAAGGGAGGCTTTACAGGGCTTTAAGCAAGTGTGCAGTGTGATTTCAGATTTCATTTTTTAGTGCTTTTGAGGGGGGTGAGTGGGTTCCAGCTTTAATGAGCTATATAATTGGCAACTAAAAATCGTGTATAATATGTTTGGTTATACTATACATTGTGAAATGATTACACAATCAAGTAATGAATGTATCCATCACCTCACATTGTTTTTTTGTGTGTGTGGTGAGAACAAGATATACTCTCTTAGCAAATTTCATATTATTAACTAGTAGATACGTTGTTATTAACTGTGGTCACCAGGCTCTACATTAGATCTCCAGAACTTACTCATCCTGCCTCAGTAAAACTTTACTGTTTGATCAGTATTTTCCTATTTCCCCCATTCCCTAGTCCCTGGTAACCACCATTTTGTCTCTGCTTCTATGAGCTTTTCTTTCTCAGATTCCACATATAAGTGAGATCATGTGGTATTTGTCTTTCTGTGCCTGAGTTATATCATGTAGCATAATGGTTCATTCATGTTGTCACAAATGTCAAGATTTCCTTTTTATTTTTATTTTTTGCAACATAAGATTTCCTTCTTTTTTTAATGCAAAATAGTATTCCATTATGTGTATGTATATGTATACATATACCATGTTGTCTTTATCCATTCATACACTGATGGGCATTGAGGTTGGTTCCATATCTTGCCTATTGTGAATAGTGCTGCAGGGAATATGGGCATGTAGGTATGTGTAATGTCTACATGAATTTTTTTTTTCTTGTTGCCCAGGCTGGAGTGCAGTGACGTGATCTCAGCTCACTGCAACCTCTGCCTCCCAGGTTCAAGCGATTCTCCGGCCTCAAGCTCCCGAGTAGCTGGAATTACAGGCATGCGCCACTCAGCTAATTTTTGTATTTTTGGTAGAGATGGGGTTTCACCATGTTGGTCAGGCTGGTCTTGAACTCCTGACCTCAGATGATCTGCCTACCTCGGCCTCTCAAAGTGCTGGGATTACAGGCGTGAGCCACCACGCCTGGCTGCTACATGAGATTTTATTTTTTAAAAGATCACTGATTAATTTTAAGGAAGCAAGATGAGTTAGGAGACTGTATCATTTTAGTCTAGCAATATAAATAGGCCAGAACTGACAGAAGGAATAGAAGAATGGAGAAAATAAGAGGAACAAGAACACTTAAGGAGCCGGAGTAAACCAGACTTGATGGAGAGGGTGGCTTAAGTGAAAAAGAATGAAGAGACAAAAATAAACTCCTGGGTTTCACAGTGAAATACTGCTTCGCCCACTAGGATAGCTAAAATAAAACAGAGTGTAACAAATGTTGGTGAATTTGTAGAGAGATTAGAACATCGTACATTGCTGGTAGGAGTAGAAAATGGTGTCGCTGTTTTATAAAAAAATTTTGGCAGTTCCTCAAAAGGTGAAACATGGAATCAGCATATGAGCCAGCAGTCCCACTCCTGGGTCTATGCCCAAAAGAAATGAAAACATGTACACAAAAACATGTGCATGTGTATTCATAGTGGCATTATTCATAATAACCATAAAGTAGAAACACCAAAAAGTCCTAAATAGGCAAATCTGTAGAAAGTAGATTATTTCCCCCAATTACCTGGGGATGGACAGTGACTGCTGATGGGTGAAGGTTTCTTTGGGGTGATGAAAATATTCTAAAATGGATTGTGGTGATGGCCGCACAACTCTGAATATGCTGAAAGTCATTGAATTGTATGCTTTAGTGGATGCATTGTATAGTATGTGAATCCTATCTTAGTAAAGTACTTTTCTTTTTAAAGTCAGTAGTAATCTCTGTCAGAACAGTGTTAGTGGAGTGATAGAGCCACAAGTGGAATCTAGAGAAACAGAAAGTGGGAGGTGAGGACATCAAGGAATGAGCATGCTGTATTCTTCTGAAACAGTTGACTGTGGCAGGGAAAGCGAAATGTAAGGGTGTGTGTGAGAAACATCAGGGTTAATAGTAGTATGTTCTTAGGTTATGGGGTGAGACAGTTGGGGGGGGTTGGAAAGTTTGCTTTGGCAATGTCTGTTAGAAGTTTACAGATGCAGGCTGGGTGCAGTGGCGCACACCTGTAACCCGAGCACTTTGGGAGGCTCAGGTGGGTGGATCACCTGAGGTTAGGAGTTTGAGGCTAGCCTGGCCAACATGGCAAAACCCTGTCTCTACTAAAAATACAAAAATGAGCCGGGTGTGGTGGCACAGGCCTGTAGTCCCAGCTACTCAGGAGGCTGAGGTGGGAGGATCACTTGAGCCTGGGAGGCAGAGGTTGGAGTGAACCGAGATTGTGCCACTGCACTCCAGGCTGGGTGACAGAGTGAGATCTTGTCTCAAAAAGAAAAAAAAAAGTTTACAGTTGCATATCCTATGACCCAGCACTTCTCAGTGTCTACCCTAGAGCAGCAGAATTGCTCAGAGAACTCTTTAATACATAGATTCCTGGTCTTATCCTCTAGACTCTAGGGCGTCTAATTCAGTGAGTGTGTGTTAGAGCTGGAGCATTTGCATTTTTAACAAGCTCCCAGATGATGGTGTATTTTCATAATGAAAACTTGGAAACTGAATGTTCCAATACAGGGAAAATGGCTAAATAAACAGTGATATAGCCACAGTATGAAATACTGTGTGGCAGTCAAAAACAGTGTCGTAACTCTGGATAGTTCCTTGGCATAAAACTTCACTTGGGTATAATAATTTATCCAAGGCTAGAAGAATCTAAATCAAGAAAGCTGAAACTCTCTTAGGCTCTCATTTGTAGTTTTCTAAGTTTATCAGTATGACCCACACTCTGTATCTGTATTGCCGCTTTTTTTTTTTTTTTAGATGAAATCTCGCTGTGTCGCCCAGTCTGGAGTGCAGTGGCGCAATCTTGGCTCACTGCGATTCTCCTGCCTCAGCCTCCCGAGTAGCTGAGACTACAGGCACCCACCACCATGGCCAGCTACTTTTTGTATTTTTATTAGAGACAGGGTTTCACCATATTGGCTAAGCTGGTCTCGAACTCCTGACCTCAGGTTATCTGCCTGCCTCAGCCTCCCGAGTAGCTGGGACTACAGGCGTGTGCCACTGCACCTGGCTAATTTTGTATTTTTAGTAGAGACGGGGTTTTACTATGTTGGCCAGACTGGTCTTGAACTGCTGACCTTGTGATCCGCCTGGCCCTATATTGCCTCTACAGTAATAGTACTTTTCTTTATTTCAACAGAGAAACTCAATATTAAGTTTGTGACGGCTGAGGCTAGAACTGGACTGCTGTCTTTTGAGGAGAGCCAGAGAATTAAGAAGCTCCATGAAGAAAACAAACAGTTCTTGTGTATACCAAGGAGGTGAGTTGAAGAAGAATTTAGAATGCCACAAAACATACAAGACCACTAAGTATTCATTCTTTTTCTTAGCTGCCATGATTAGATCCAAATTCCCTATTTTGTTCTGGTTACTTCTGTGAGGAATTTTTTTCCTTCTATGATTGTTTCAGACCAAACTGGGACAAAAAAACTAGCCCAGAAGAACTCAAACAGGCAGAGAAAGATAACTTTCTAGAATGGAGGCGTCAGCTTGTCCGGTGAGTATTATAGACTCTGTGAATACTTACCTTACCTTGAAATCCTGAGTCCGGACACTTGGCGTGCATGTGTGGCCATTTGCATTTTGAAGTTTTGATTCTTTTAAAAAGGAAATGGTAGCATTCTACTAACAAGTGCATATAGATGTGTGTGCAAAAACATGCTAGGTGCCCATGCATCCTTGCACAGAGATAGTGAGCTGGTTACTCTGTTCAGTTCCTGGCCTTTTCTTTCATTCCCTTCTTTGGCCATTGGGCACCCTGGAGTTGATCACTGTGCTCCTGCACATTTTTCCAGTAAGAGTTGCGGGAAAGAAATGACTTTGTGTGATAGATAAACTTCCAGGGCATAAATAGCTTCAGAATAAAATTTGAATTTGGTGGTGTATTGTATAAATAAATAGTATTTTTATGGTGTCTTAGCAGGAAATACGTAAAATAATTTGACTCGATATTTGTACACAGTACTTATTTTTAATGTAATGAATTTCAGCATTTACACTGCTAAAAATTGTCTATTGTAATCTGGCAAAGATACAAACTTCTCACTCAAAAACTAGGCTGGAAGAGGAACAAAAGCTGATACTGACTCCATTTGAACGAAATTTGGACTTCTGGCGCCAGCTCTGGAGAGTCCTTGAGAGAAGGTGAAGTACCATTTTCTTTTGTGTAATAAAGACGTTGTAGTGATGTTACATAGATTTGGATGTTGATATAGGCTTATAGGCTCAAGGTATCGGGAATTAAGTTATGCAGAGGGTTACTAAGAATTATAACAAGTATGATATTACCATATATTTTGTACAGTTTTTTTGTTATTAGATAAATATGTTGATAAGTATATGAGAATATTGAATATTTTCTGTAAGATGAATTCTGAAGCATCTATATAGATATTTTAGCAAATGTATATTGAATATCTACTGGCAATATGGAAAATATGGGTAAGAAAAGAGTTAAGTTCCTGCCTGCAGAGAGCATACGTATATGTTATGGCGAGAGGCAAATGGCAAAGCTCATGTCAGCCGGCTTTCACCACTTCCAGCTAAGTGCTAAGCAGAGCAACTGGCACCAGAGGCACACAGATGAATGAATGAATGAGTGAATGAATGAATGAATGAATTCTTGCACTCAGAGAACTTAATACATAGTAAAATACAGAGGGCGGTATAATTCCTGCTTTGCTGCAGATAGAAAGGCAGTGGGCCGAGTCATAGCAGAGGAAAGAGCAGTTGATAAGTATTGAGGAAATCACGAGAATTTTTTTTTAACTGGGCTCTGAAAAGAAGAGAATGATTTTGACAAATTGAGAATAGAAGATTTTTATTCCTTTCCATGTAACACCAAAGAGAAGTCCTGATTGTTAGAAGTTGATGAATCAAGTGTCTCTAGTCTCACCTCTTTGGTATAGTTAAAAGGTTTTTGTTTTCCTCGAGGAGTTTCTGAATTACTTTCAAGGACTCCATAAATGAACCTTGTATTTGAAATGATGTTTTTTAACAACAACCCTTCAGGCTCTTTTTTTTCTCTGAAATCTATAAAGTGAATCTAGCAACACTAGGAAACATAATGTTTTAATTGGGATTCTCAAAAAGAATCACATTTAGCATTGTAATTAAGAAAACGGCCCAGCTCACGCCTGTAATCCCAGCACTTTGGGAGATCAAGGCAGGTGGATCGCTTGAGGTCAGGAGTTTGAGATCAGTCTGAGCAACATGGTGAAATCCCGTCCCTACTAAAAATGCAAAAATTAGTCAGGCTTGGTGGCACGTGCCTGTAATCCCAGCTACTTGGGAGGCTGAGGCAGGAGAATCGCTTGAACCCAGGAAGTGGAGGTTGCAGTGAGCCGAGATTGCGCCACTGCACTCCAGCCTGGGTAACAGAGGGAGACTCTGTCTCCAAAAAAAGAAAACAGGACTCGGATTAAATTTGTAAAAGTCACTTACGTTTCTAATTAGGGTGATGACAATTAAAGTCACTTAAATACCCCCATCCTCTGCTCTCTGGGAGTACAGAAAGGGCTCTTTGACTGGGGTGTGGGGGGGTCAGAGAAGCAGGGCACCCCTCTCAGGCGGAAGAAAGGAATAGATTACTGCTGATTACCAGCTCCACGCAGGCTCCTTCTACTCAACTAGGCTTGAGGAGGGGGCAGAACCATTCACCGGGGAACCGGGGAACTTCTGCGGAGCAGAGTAGACTCTTCTTTGGTGCCTCCTTGGTAGTTGAGGCTGTGTGCTCCTGAGAATGCCCGTTTTCTTATTTCCAAAGAGATGTGGTAACAAGCACGGAAGTACTGCAGCTTGGACCTTGAGGGGAGCCCCCTCCACCTTCACACTCCATTACAGTTTTTCTTTTGTTTTCAGAGTTTTTCCTGCTTCCCCTATTATCTGTCTTTCCTCTTTGTTCCTTTTCTCTTTATTCTGGTTTCTGACTGTTATGGAGGAGGCCTTCCTTCGACGTCTAGTGATGTTTGTCTGTCTGTATTTAAGAACAAAGCATGGCCGGGCGCGGTGGCTCAAGCCTGTAATCCCAGCACTTTGGGAGGCCGAGGCGGGTGGATCACTAGGTCAAGAGATCAAGACCATCCTGGTCAACATGGTGAAACCCCGTCTCTACTAAAAATACAAAAAATTAGCTGGGCATGGTGGTGCGTGCCTGTAATCCCAGCTGCTCAGGA